GGAGACCAAAGCTAGATGGAATATGCTTTAGACAGATCACAAAGACTAATAATGAGCTCCTCGCGGCTACTTTTTCAGAACAGGAAATTAAAGAAGCAATATGGAATTGTGGTCCATCCAAATCCCTAGGACCAGATGGATTCAACTTCAGATTCAACTTCAGATTCATCATGACAATGTGGAATGTTATAAAAGCTTATATATTCAACTTTGTTCGGGAGTTCCAACAACATGGCAGACTGGCAAAGGGTCCAATGCCTCCTTCATTGTGTTAATTCCAAAGACAAAAAATCCACAAGCAATTGAGGAATTTAGACCCATTTCCCTGATAGGAGTCACATACAAAATCATTGCAAAGCTATTAGTGAATCGATTACAGAAGGTGTTACATAAGGTGATTGGGGAGCAACAGATGGCGTTTATTGAAGGAAGACAATTAGTGGAGGGAGCAGTGATTGCAAATGAGATTATTGATGAAGTCAAGAGGAAAAAGAAGAAGGGATTTCTATTTAAAGTCGACTTCGAGAAAGCCTACAACAAGGTATGCTGGGAATTTATTGACTACATGATGATGAGGATGGGATTCTGTGCAACTTGGAGGAAATGGATACAGGAGTGCTTGAAGTCGAGCTCGGTGTCTATTCTAATCAATGGCAGTTCGACGAACCAATTCCCGGTTAATAAAGGCATCCGTCAAGGAGATCCATTATCCCCTTTTTTATTCTTGATAGTGGCAGATGGACTGAATGGATTAGTGGAATCGGCAGTGGAAAAGGAGAAGTACAAAGGAGTGGTAATCGGGAGCAGAGATGTGATGGTCTCACACCTTCAATTTGCGGATGACACAATTTTCTTTGGAGATGCAACAGAAGACAATATTTGGGTGATCAAATGTATTATGAGGACATACGAGTTAGCCTCTGGGTTGAAGATTAATTTCAGAAAGAGCCAGTTGATTGGTGTAGGAGTTGATCAAAATTGGTGTGCTAAAATGGCATATCAATTGTGCAGCAAGGAAGGAAAATTGCCATTTAGGTATTTGGGAATACCAATTG